TTTGTATGATCTTTCTTGAAGAAACATGATCAAATTTACAAATAAATTATGTTCATGGAACTGTCAAAATATTGGTGAACAAAAGCATCCAAACAAATAATATTGATCACCTAAGACAATAATTTATAATTTATCTTAGATTATGAGGAAAGTTAGACTTTGTTGATCTCTTATATTTTTCTATAAAAAGATGCTTTTTAAGGGTTTATAATTGTCATATCTTTAAAATTTTAAAGTATCTAAAAAAGTTTTTTTTTTTTTTCACTAAGAAATTTTTTTTTTTTTTTTTAATCTTCAAAATAGAGGATATTGTCATTAAAAAGACATTAAACAAAATAATAATAATAATAAATTTTATTTCTGTCAATGAACACATAGAAAGTACCCATTAATTGATAAAAAAAGCTCAGCTGAAAATACATTTTGCGTCTTTTTTTTTTAAACAAAATTTTTATAAGTGTCGTCTAAAAGATAATACGATGTTGTATTTGGAGGAAAATATATATTTATCTAAAATTAGGTTGGGCTAAAAGATATGTAAAATCTCAATGGTTTTAATATTCTCAAAAAACACCGTTTGTTTTTTTTATTATTGCTTATACAGTAAATGTTTCTAATTATCATCTCATTGGCTAAGTTACAAATTAATAGTCATCTTTTTGTCTAATATTTTGTTTCCTATTTAAATGATAAGTAACAAATTAATTATAAATATTTTTCCTATTTATTCTATATGATATCTACTTGACCACTAGTCGGCAAAAACTTTTCTTAAATCTTCTAAAATATTTATAATTTTACTTTGTCGTGAACTTGACAACATGTTCTCCTCATGAGATTTGGTCAAATTGTTTGCATAAGCTTAGAGTTATATTTTTATTGTGTCAAAGATTAATTATGTGCTTATATGTATGGAAGCTTCTGTTGAAGTCAAACACACTGACAATAAGTTAATAAAATCTCAAACAAATATAATTTTTTATTATTAAAATTTAATTTTTAAATCTTATAGTAACTATTTAATTAAGATAATTGAAGTAAATAAATGCATTTTATAAAACTAAATTGGATTTTATTATAAAGTAAATTCTTATGGAGAAACAAACAAATAATCTACGGTGTTTAATCAACCTTTAACATGACATATCTATGTAACTTATCATTTTATACACAATACATAAGAGATATTTTCGCAATAGTAATTTTATTTCCATTTCTAATAGGGGTCTCGTCTTTCTATTACACTAATAGGATTCACGTCCTTATAATAATTATATTCCTTTTAAAATTAATTTTCTTCAAAATACACCCCTTTTTTGTTTCAGTCTCTCAAATCATTTTTCTGTTATCCTATTTGGATTTAAAAACAAAATGTGTTTGTTTACTTATTGAGATCATTATTTTGAAAATCAATCCGAATGAAATAAGATTATTTTTATTGAAAATGAAAAGTGTGTGAGACTTGTTTTCTATTATCCTATTCTAATATTTTTTTCAACTCTATTCAATTAAAAACAATTACATTTTACAATAAAAGTTTATAAATTAACCAAAACACCCCCATCCACTCAAGCCATTGTCGGTCACCGCTGCCACCGATGGCTACCATCGCCGAAACGACGCATGACCGGTCAGATCTGGCAGATCATGTGTTGATCTTGCTATTTCTAACCAGGTCCATCATGGATTTGGCTGGAGACGACCAGATCTATCTAGTCATTGACAACGACCAGAGTTTGACCGCTAACGACGGCCAGAGATCTGGCCATTAACGACGACCAACTTTTGGCCTTCAAATAAGTTGACGGCTTTATTATTTGGGGTGTTTTTGTTAATTTTTAAAGTTTTATTCTGGGGGATGTTTAGCTAAATTAATAAATGTAGGGGATTAAAAATAATCCAAATATTTTCAGAAAATGTTTTCAAAAAATGTATGAAACAATTATGTAACATTTTATCAAATTCTGATATAATTTTCAACTATTATACCAAACGTATTGTTAGAATTCTACTCAATTTCATTTAATCCCGTCATATCTTATTTAGATAGTTTTTTAAAATAACATTTTTTTAAATAATCTGCCAAACTGTATTCCCTATAATTTTACAACTGAACATCGAAGAAAATAAGCGGCAATATCTCAAGAAGCATAAGTTGACAAAATAAAGATCAAATAGAATATATCTTAAATAAAACTATGTTTAATTGACTCCAACAAATTTGAAGAGAAGGCTGCACTCGAAACCGGCCTATATTAATTAAATTCCTTTTGCTTCCATCATATCTTTCGATCATCGTTTACCAGTCCACATTTTTATCGTCTTTTTAAGGTCACATCCAACTCTTTTCAACGCAATTCTCGAAAATGAGTTTTTTCCCTGTTTTACAAGTGATGTTTCTACATTTTCTGATGGCTAGGTTGGCGATGGCTGCAGCACCCAACTTAACCACAGACCAAGCCGCACTTCTTCAACTCAAAGCTCACATAACTTTCGACCCAAACAGTTTCTTTCTACACAACTGGTCCTCCACTGAGTCCCCAATAAATATTTAAAATAAATAATGTATTAAAGTAAATAATTTTATAAAAAGAAACTTAAAAAAAATGGATGTTGGCGATGGCCGATGGCATGTTCACCGGCACGTAACGCTAATTTTGGCCGCATAAGGTGGAGATATATTCAACCTCATATGACGGATACCCGCATCAATTACCCGTGATTCCACGAATATCATATAGATTACCTTGTGTCGATCATTCTAACGTTGTCAATGCTGACAGACATACCACTAGCTTTGGTTCCAGGCAACCGCCACCAACTAAAGTCTGACCTCCACCGTTGTCCATTTTCCTTTTCCTTTTTTAAAATTTTTATTAAACTAATAATTTGATGAATTAATTTAAATTAATTTTATATATTTTATTGTTTATATGAATATATTTGTCCTTATATGTGTAAAATATTCAAACTGATTATCTTATAATGATTAGGTTATATCATATTCTCCTTGAAAATTAGTTTATCAAACGTTTTTGTTATGAAATGATTAAATTCTACGAGAACCCCAAACATGCACCAAGTTAAAACATGAAAATTAGATTAATATTTTCTATTTTTTTTTATGAGTTATTTTCTCTATATATAAGGTAAATTATGGGTACAACATATGGGCTTGGTTATTGGATAATACTACGTTAACAAACGAATCTTACAAACTTTCTCTTACAAACCCGACGTGACACTGAGTTGGCATTACCACATCAACTCACAGCTTTGACTATACATGAATAGTCGTTCCTTAAGGATAAATAGTCGTTCATCGTCTAAGGAACGATCATTCCTTAGGGATGAACGACCATTCATGATATAAGGAACGACAATTCCTTAGAGATGAATAGTCGTTCATCGTATAAGGAACGATCATTCTATGAAGAAGGAACTATTCCATAGGAAGGATGGCCATTCCATCATAAAATGGTCGTTCCTCCAGGTGGAATGGTCATTCCATAGGACAGAATGACCGTTCCTTGGAGTTGGAATGGCCATTCCATGAGGAATGGTCGTTTCTCATCCAAAAGCGACTATTCCTCATCCAAGGAACGGTCGTTCCATCCAAAAACAACTATTCATCATCCAAGGAACGATCATTCTTCCATTCATAATGGTTGTTCCCTATGAAGGAACGACTATTTCTTAGTTCTGCCAACTCAGGTATCACGCGGAGTTTGTGAGATAAAGTTTATGAGATGTGTTTGTTAGCCTATGATTATTCTTAGTTATTTTACTATGCTTGTATTTTTGTGGAGTTTGTGCACAGAATTTTAAGGGATTCTTGGCATGAAAGATTCTAATATCTAACTAAAGTTTCAGTGTTAAGTTCAACAAAATTTAATTTCTTTTTAGTTACTTATTAGCATAAACATTTTACCCTCCTTAATTATTAGACTTGATCTTGTTATTTTGTTAAACAATAAAATACCTTTTTAAACAAAAATATATTTTAAAAATTAACCTCTCCTACCAATCTGATTTATTGAGAGGGACACTTTTTTAAAATTTATCAAGATATTAAGATAAGGTTTGGAACATTTATTTACCAAGCAATAACCGTTAAAATAAATATTATTATGAAAAACATGTAGGCTTATTCATTTCATGATCCTTATGTTTAGTGTGGAAATGGTATCCTTACTGGGAATCCATGCTGAGTCTAATTAATTAACATATATCTTATTAATTTAGTCTAATCTTAGTATGTTAAGTTCTATCTAATCTTAATGGTTTAGAGTAAGTAATGTTTTATCCCTTTTTATTTAGATTTGATCTTGTTTAATTTGATATAATACTAAGTTTTCAAACAAAAATATAATAAATAATATTGAGATTAAAAAAGTTACTGGTTTCAACAAAGCATGACATATATTGAGTTATTGTCGTTTTTTTATTGGATAGGCATTGAAATATTATTTTTGTTTAATAAATTATATATTAAAAAAAAAACCTTGGTTATTTATGATTGTTATTATATAAGATTGTCAGTAATTTACGGAAATAAAAAGACTTAAATGCTTATTATTATTATTATTAATTATTTATATATTAATAAGCAACACCATTATAAGCAAAAGCGAGCTAATTCAAGCACAAGGGTGGCCGGGCGCCCTCACTGGGCTTTTAAAAAAATCTGGAAACTATTTTTAGGCCCTCAATGCTTTATATTATTTTAATTACCCCTCAAATAATTAAACCTAAAAACATATTAAATGAAATTTTATCCAATCCAATAATTAACTCCAAAAAACAACTAAGTAAAATTTTAGATTATAAATAAAACACATTTTATTCAAATTTATTAAATAAAAGTTTTAGGATAATAAATTGTGTACGTAACATTTTTCAAAGTTTTGATATTCTTTATTACCTTATTAATCATATTCCTCTGATTATAGGTGGTTTCAAGAATTAGAAATGTTTGGTGCGTGTATTACAAAATATCATTTACAATTCATAATGTATTTCTATTTTCTTCAAAGATTTTCAAGAGTTAATTTCCTCGAAACAAAATACAAAACCACATACATACATAAGCCATGCTTATAATAAGTCGCCATTTATTTAAGTACAATACAGATATAAAGCACACCACTCTTGTTTATTAACTCGACTAAAAACTAGCCAGCAGTAACCGCTATTTTCATTCCAGCCTCGCAGTGGCCTGGGAAATTGCAGATAAAATAGCTATTTCCTTGGGCAAGCGTGATCTGATCATTTCCTGTTTGATACACTTTGGCGTTTTTCGGGGTTGTGCAATTTTTGTAACCTCTCTTGTTTACCACCACCACGTTATGGAGGGCTGGATCATAGTTGAATACTGTCGAATCATCAACAAAATACAATTTCATTAAATTGTTAATCGAAATTTCAACTTCTAAAGTTAATTAGAGTTGATTAACATGAATGAATCTTAACAGTAAGAAAAATCTAATAATTTAAATATCACTCACCGAGAACATCACCGGCCTTAAAACTCTTTCCTTTAGGCCAGTTAGCGACGTTATATGTCCAACCATTAGAATCAGAATTGCCAACTGTGTAAGTTGTGGCTTCACTCAGCTCAGAATGGAGCAACAATAAACACGCCATCACAATCCCAAACGCTGCACTGCCACTTCCCTTCACCATTTTCTTGATTTTAAAGAGAGCGAAATTAATGTCTTAATTAATTAATAGTAAGTTGAAGGGTAACTGGCCCTTTTTATGGAGCCAGTTGTGGGGACCTATTAGTGTGAACACAACTACTAAAAGGCAGTGGTTTTGAATTTTTAGAAGCCACTAAAATGATGGATGGAGGTATAAATTTGAGTTGGCAGTTGGAACAATGAAGATGACTTAAGAGGAAACTGTGTAGTGGGTTGTATATAACACGTTATTTTTGTTGGATGAAGGGTTGATGTGTTAAATGAGGGCTAAGTCAAATCATAATACTTAAAGCAAATGTGAAACGACTATCGTCTCTCAGTTCTATGCAGTAGATCGATAATGATGAAAGAAAATTGTAGAACATTTAATTGAATTGCCAAATAAATGAAAAATGATCACACCAAGAAGAATTAGGTCTAGAATGTTACACATTTTGTCATAAGCTTTGCTACAATTGAGAAACACGAGATCATAGCAAAAAACAGTTCATGCAACTTATCAAGACCTTAAGTGAGAGACTTTACCCAATGAATATATTTAGATTCGACCCTTAGCTTGATTGATTGATTTAAACAGCTTAGACTAAATAATAAATTGGGTCTAACAATCTTAGAGAATTAATTAAATTATCATGAACTTAAAACAAGTTATCACGGGGAATTGATTGGTGGGATGCAATAGTGTGGTAACCTAGAGAATTTATTATGATGCCACGTTGGTGTCGAAATAAGACTTCTTTACTAGCGTCCTTTTCTGGTGTCGAAATAGATATCACTATGACAAGATAAATGTCATGTAGTGATTCTTAATTTCAATTCTTTATGATCACATATATTTTAATAATTAGATAATGTGATTAAGACAAGCTTTTATTTTCTATCATTTTCTATTAATTATAAATAGAACATTATATTTTACTCAAGATTAAATAAAGAGAATTTGTTTCAATTTCACTCTAGATATATGTTGGTTGGCAAGACCTAACGGTGTTCTTCTTATTGTGTAGCGAAAACACAAAACTCTAACGCTAGTTATTGAAATATAATAATAACAGTACCAGAGAAAAAATAAATGGTCACAATAAATACAAAAAAAAAAAAAAAAAAAGAACGCTAGGAATTTAATGAGGTTTGGTATTGTTACCTACGTCCTTAAGTGCTATAGAAAACTTTGGATCTGTTTGTTTAAATATTTTTAACTATCATATTCATACTATTTCCAAAATACGAGTTTGTTTCCCTATTATGAAAATACCATTATATTTTCTTCAATGTTTTAAAAATCGACCCGGGGTGCAACCCGGCAAAGTGATCGGGTCTCAGGTCGACCGGTTCAACCAGTTCAATCGACTAGTTCGACCGATGATGACATCAGCATGATGATATTAAAAAAAATTCCAGCAAAATCATCAAGAAAAAAAAGTTAAAAAAAAAGAAATCTAATTATTGATTTTAAAGAATAATTAAATAGGATATATACTGGGACTTGAAACAGGTTGTACCCATCCAAAATCATTTGAAAGTATAGGATAGATTAAGGTAAAAAATTAACAATAATGCTACGGACACCGAAAAAATTACACTGAAATCGTGTACCGGCCTACGTGTAACACGCCTCTCATTTTTTTTATAATTTTTTTCTAGTGAACGGCCGTCCATCAAATTTGGACAGCCATTCACTCACATGGACGCCCGTCCATATTATATGGACGGGCGTCCATATACAAGGGACGGGCGTCCCTATTTAAAGGACGCCCGTCCATAAATAAATTTTGAAAATAAAAAAAAAAAAAACTTTGGGGACGGCCGTCCATAAATTATGACGGCCGTCCCTTACATTTGGACGGGTGTCCATTCCTAATGGACGCCCGTCCATACTTAAAAAAAAAAAATGTTTGGACGGGCGTCCATTTCTAATGGACGCCCGTCCATTATTTTAGTTTCTACAAATTAAAGAAAAACTTTGGATGGGACGGGCGTCCGTAAGGAATGGACGCTCGTCCATTACTTACGTTTTTGTGAAATTTTTCCAGTGATAGCAATCTCATGCAGTATCTCCTGCACATCATCAGCCAACTTTTTGACGTCCTCCGGCCAGTATAGTACGTTTGCATCCTGGTTGAAGTTCTGTAGCTTATCCTTATTCTCTTCATCACTGCTGACTTCCCCGAAAATCTTAAACTTTTGCCTCCCCCAAAAAAACACAGTGAATGAAGACGAAGAAGTAGACGGGCGAAGTTCTGCACCTTCTTCACTTGCCTCCATGGAAACTTTATTGCATCCATTTTGATTTAACATGTTAGACTTTCAAACATATTGACTTAGACTTTCAAACACATTGCCAGTATAGTACAGTTCAACGAATATTCATGGAAAAAGAAGTGAAAACTTTCAAACACATTGCCAGTATAGTACAGTTCAACAAATATTCATGGAAAAAGTATGGACGGGCATCCATTAGGAATGGACGTCCGTCCATATGTAAGGGACGGCGTCCATAATTTATGGATGGCCGTCCCCAAAGTTTTTTTTTTATTTTTAAAATTTATTTATGGACAGGCGTCCTTTAAATGGGGACGTCCGTCCCTTGTATATGGACGCCCGTCCATATAATATGGACAAGCGTCCATGTGAGTGAATGGCCGTCCAAATTTGATGGACGGCCGTTCACTAGAAAAAAATTATAAAAAAAATGAGAGACATGTTACACGTAGGCCGGTACACGATTTCGGTGCAGTTTTTTCGGTGTCTGTAGCATTATTGAAAAATTAATGCCTTCTCTACACGCTTCCACCAAATAAAAATTAAAAGAGAAACAAAGAGAGAGAGAGGCGACAAGACATCTATCTGCCCCCTTCCTCTCTTTCTTCATCGCTCAAGTATGTCTTCTCCTTCTTTTTTTTCATGTTTTGTTATCTGGGTATTGCTCTTTTCCTTCTTCTTCTTCTTGTTCTTGTGTTTTTATTTTGATTTCGATGGGTGTTGTTTGTTTGACTTGAACAGTCATCTTCTATGGGAGAGAGAATCGCTTCTGCAAGTTACTTCCACTCTTCCAGTACCCTCCTTCTCTACTCCATGCTTCTCCTCATAACTCATAAGTAATCAATCGAAAATAGATTAAATGACAGTACATCCGATGGTGACTGGAACTGCTGCCGAAGATGAGAAAAAATGAAGATGAAACAAAAGCTTTCGCTGAAGTGGAAATGAAAGAGCTAAGAGATGAAACGAAAAAATCGACCAAGAAATGAAGAAATAGACAAATGGAAGAGTGCAAAATTGGGAAAACCGTTTAAAAAATCGCAATTAAGGAGGGGTTAGAGTTGACCCGGTTCTTTTCCAAAACCGGTTGGACCAACGGGTCAATACAGTAAACCGGTCTAACCGCGGGTTATTCCGGGTGAATTGGATCATCCAGGTTTTATGTTAAATCAGCCCGGTTTAGTGGTTGGGTCCCGATCGAACCGGTTCAACCGGCCGGGCCGGGTCGGGTTTTAAAACCTTGATTTTCTTTAACTACATTTTAAACCCCTTAAGTTTATTAATTTAACTAAACACCTTTAGAAATTAATAAAAACACTCCCACCCACCCACATTTGTCAAATTTCGATCACCATCACCAGAAGGTGGCCGGAATCTGGTATAATGGCGCACTATCGGCTGGATCTGGCCGGTAGTGCACCGGTCTATCATATTCTGGTCAGATTCACTGTGGATTTGGCCGAAAAAGGCTAGATCCACCGTGGATCTAGCTGAAAAAGGCTAAATATACTATGGATCTGGCTAGAAAAGGTCATCTAAGTGCATGACCGACTAGATCCAGCCGGTCGTGCGTCGATACGGCGACTCCGACCACCCTCTGGTGGTGGTGGCCGATTGCAAGAATTTAATTGGTGGGTGGGGGTGTTTTTGTAATTTTTAACGTTTTATTACATGGATGTTTAGTTATTTAACAAACCTAGGGGCTGTTTTTGTTAATTTTTAAATCCTACCTCGTTATTCCCATCCAACTCTAAAAATATCAAAAATACTATCCAAAATACTAAAACAAACACACCCTTCATTATTCTTGAAGAATATCATAACCTTTTGGGCAATACTGCAAATACCCAAAACAAAGGGAATATAGAAAAACTCCAAACTTTGGGTAAGAACCCATTACAATAGGAGTAGAAGGAAAACTAATTTTTGAGATGAACAACAATAGAACTTAGCCTCCTTTATATAGGCCCAAAATCCTAAACCCATATATACTTTACCACTTGATGTAGGATTGCAAATTATCTCATTCTTATTTCCACTAGGAGTGAGATTGACAAATTCCTATTCCTTATAGATTTCTAAACCCATTTATATTCACACTTGATGTAGGATAGTAAATTGTCTCATTCTTAATTCCACCACTGTCGAATCGTCGGCTACCACTATCAACTGTTTGCCACAACTTTCAGTCATCGGCCGCCATCGACAGTCTTCGGAATGGCCTACGATCGGTTGGATCTAGTTGGTTGTGTGTTGATCTGGCTGAAATGGTTGGAAATGGCTAGATGGCTATGGATCTGGCCGGAAACGACTAGATCTATGGTTATCAACGGCCAAATCCATGTCCACTGAAATAAATCTAGCCATTTTGGCTAGATCCACTACCATCTGGCAATTTTCGACAATTTATCTAGTCGAAAACGGCCAGATCAATGCATGGTTGGCTAAATCCGCTCGGTTGTGCGCCTTTTTGCGACTATCGTCGGCGGGCGACAATGGTGGCCAACGGCCGACAATGGCTTGGGTGGGTGGAGAAGATTTTGTTAAAATTTAAACTTTTATTATAGTTGAGGTGCTGTAGCAAGATCTCAAATGTGAGGGGTTAAAAAAATAGTTCAAATAATAATGATAATAATATTAAAAAAGAAGAACAATCAATCTCATCCAAACATAATAATATAACATACTCACCAATTTATTCCAATCAACCAAACAAATTTTTTCTAAACATTCTCAGTAATCTTCAAAATAATTTATCTTCTTATTAATAT